CTGACATGTCACTTTTTCCTTCCTGCAGTGCTGATGGGGAGTATCTTCAGTATCCTGCTAATCACTATGATCCTGATGGCAGTGTGCGTCTATAAGCCCATTAGAAGACGGTAGCAGAGCACGAGCGGCTGTCAGAGGAATACTGGATCAATCACATTGCATGTGGAAACTTTGGGATCAAAGCACTGGTACTTATTACAACTGATGTGCTATATAGCTGCTGTAAAACCAACCTGACTTGTACCCCAAGCTCTGGCTTGTAAGAGCCTAAGTCATTTGTGAAAGTGGCTAAGGGTCTCTCTGTTCTAGCATAACCAGTTGTTCTTTTGCAGAAACACACCCACACCTGCCATACTAGGGCAACTGCTCTTAAAGACACTACAATTAGGGTCTGGCAATCTCATCCCTCATTTTCAGGCGTTTGTACCCAGGACAGACGCAGATATTCAAACATGAATGCCTAAAGTTAGACAACAACTAAATGTGGCCATCAGCCTGGTAGCACTTCTGTAGATGTCTAACTGAACACTTGTTTGGAAACATTAGCTGCAAACTGCACTTGGCATTTGTCGTAATCCTGACAAGAGAGGCTACTACTATATGAAGTCTTTTACTTTGCTAGTGTCCATAAGAAGGCTTTTCCACACAGATTTATTGCATTGTTGAGTTCTGCTCTTGGCTCCTGCATGGGTCTGTGATAGCAATGAACTTCATGGACACTAAACGCAGCATCTACATGATTCTAAAACAACACGCCACACTTTACAAAGGGTGGGTCACATACCATTTCTGCCAGTTACTGATTAAACTCCACCATAAACCTGCCAAAGTCCATGATATCTAATCTCTCACACACCCAGTGCCCTAATAAAGTATCTTGTCAGGAGTGACATTATAAAATGGAAAGCTTGAGTTTTGATTTCTCTCCTAAACATCATTATTTTGCAAGTAATTGCATGCATCAGATTGCATTTTCAGGTTTTATAGTTTTAAGGAATTCAGTTTTCTGCTCTAGCATGGAGTATTGTTGGTTTCTAGCATTGTCTTATTAAAATCACTCAAGACAAACATCCACCAGAATGAGAAACCTGGCTTTGTAAAGATGGCCGTATGCACATATCTGAACTGAAATACAGAAACACGAGACAAGGCAGGAAAAACATAGTCGGTTTGCTAAGTATTTTTAGCTGCTTTTTCTGGAGCAATAGACTCGCACCAAAATACCAATGTAGTTTGTTTGTGTGGAGACCAGTCTGTAGCTTCTGACTTGGCCTGACCAAACACTTACCTTCTTGGCTGTGCGGTAGGCTTGGGTCACTAGAAAGTAGTCCAGTGACAGTGGAAATTTCTAAAAACCTGAGATTTACAGGAAAGCCAGTCGCATCTGAGAATCTGCTACATCTCTGTGGAAGCAATGCTGCTTTCAAATCCTTTTGGAAGTGTTCTGTTTTTAAGCTAGGGGCAGTTCTCAGTCATATGCATTGTCTGTAATGAATGTAAGTGTTTACAGTTGCATATACATGCTGCTATTTTTATTTTGCACTGTTATAAATGTCAATTGGATTTTGCTTTGGCATATATTTAATGAAAGATTTTGTTTTAATTTATTTACCATTCCAAATTTCACTTCTAGACTAACCATATGTCGGTTTGTATTAGTCTTAAACCTTCTATTGTGTCTTACTTGATGTCTGCTGGTTTAGTTTCATTGAAAAGCACTGATACTTGTTGGAAATAGTGATGATTCCTGGGTGCTTACCTGTTTTGTAATGGTGGATAGTGTTTGTACACAGCCAGTTGCTATGATGCCCACTCTGAGTAAAACATGAGTAAAAGTGCAAGCAAAGTTCTTATTCTCTCTCTTCCATTTTTGTTCCCCTCCCCCTGACACTCACAACAGGGTATTCCATTGCTGGTGGTCTCAGTCTGCCTTCATCTCGCTGAATATTACACATCCTCCTTTGTTAGTATAGTATTGATGGAAAGCACTCTTGTAGCTACAGTTCTACCGAGTCATAGCTTGCATTCATTCTCTACTCCCTGCAAGATCTTTTTATACAAATAAAAAGCTAACCAAATAATCCCATACTCAGTCATTTGTGAATGCATGTTCTGCACATGCTACAAGACCGCTATAACAATCAGTACCCTCAGCCGCTAACCAGTAGCTTCCCTCACCTCAGCAGGACTACAAAAATGGGTAAGAACTGGTAGAGACCCTAGGGCTTGCTGTAAAGATAGACAGTAAAGCAAATGTTTACAAACACCCACTGTGCTGGGTGGTTTGAACAACTATGGCAGAATTGTCAAAGTCACTGAGCATCTGCGGCACCTAGAATCCAGTGGCTCAGCACCTGTGAAAGTCGGGTTACGGGTGTGTTAAGAGAGGCACCTTTTCTTGTCTAAAAGAAAATGCTTATTTTTCTGCCACCACATGCTGAAGTGTTATCTCTACCTGGAGGATTGAGCCCAGCAGTAATGATATGTTTCAGAGGGGCACCTCTGTGGTATTTGATTCATGGGTAGCATCCAGCTAATAACAGGTTACAAGTAAAAGTTGGATCATTGCGCCGCTTCACTCACCCATGGACAGATATCAGCTCTCTCTCTGGCTTAAGTTTCAAAGAGTCGTTCAGCTATTTTGAATGCATACCTTTATAATTTAGGAAACACTTTGATTGCAGGTTTCTTTGAGACCAAGGGCAGCAGCTGACTCACAGCTCTCCATTGCAGGAAATAAAGAACCACTTTACCCACTTAAGAAGGACAAGCATTTAGTAAAAAATGTTATCACTTGAGCTGAATATGCAAGAAGGCAGCAGTCTGTTTATTACCAATGTGATAGCAGATTTTGTAATAGGCACACTTAATTTTTATAATTCATTAAAGGTAGCCTTGGCTGACATTGGTGTAAGGATGCCTAATAGTTCTGCATTCCACCTTCCTGAAGAAGTAGCCTGCTGAAAAGCTACCAGAGCAAACAAAATGATGGTCCTACTGAGAATGGCACATAGACCTGCCTTTGAAGTCAACGGTACTAAGAATCTGTGGTTCCAAGTATTACAGCTGGTCCTAAATTTCATTTTTATCCCTACTGCTATTGTACTGCAGTAATCAAAAGTCAAGAGTTAGCAATTTGGATTCAGAAAAGTTTGCTTAGCTCTAAAATTATAGACTAGTCCCTGTTCTGCATCTCAATACTTCAATGAAGAAACTGCACTGCTTCCTCGTTAACTTTTGGATTGCTGCTTCCAAAAGAAAAATGTCCAAATTAAGCTGTGGACAAATGAAATTGCAAATGTGCACAAGTGCTTGAAACCATTTATCCTAACCTTCATCTCCCTTTTAGAAACTTGTACAGGCCTACTGTGCAGATCACATGGAGATTCAATAGGATAAATTTGTAATAGTTAATTTGCACTGTACTGCAATTCATAAAAGCTGATTACAGCTTACTTTTTCTAAAGTAGTGTAACATGAATCAGGTATTCTACATAATTTCAAAGAAAGAAAGAACCTTACAAAAACTTGACTTTAGAAAGAAGAATGCTGGCCTTTTATAAAAAGCTTGTTGGCAAATATCAAATATGCTACCCCATTCTTTTCTGTTTCTATTCCTATCTCCTTGACACATGCATGAATACAGATAAGTCATGTCATCAAAAGCGCTTTAATCTAAAATGCCGCATTTGCTTTGAAAATATTTATTCTGTGCCAATCTCCAAAAGATTTCAAAACATAAGATTCAAAATTAAACATAAATGTCAGAAAATGTCTACATGGATTATGTATTTAAAAGTATTTGATTAGCTGAAATCAGTACATTTTTGATAACTTTATACATGATAATGTCATATTTAAGCACAAAAAAAATAAAAATCAAATGGGGGATAAGCGCATACCTATTAACCAAATTTCAGATGTCAGTTATTGTGCTTCAAGGTAGAAGTTACAGAATTATTCATGTGTACAGTGCAAGACCGTTTGCAACAGAAAACAATTCAAAGGAACATAAAAGGTATTGAGCTCCAAATCAAAGTCTGTGAACAGGCTAGGCCTCTGGTAATCAGGAAGCTTTTGATAAAGCCAAAGAGAATAAGACTTGGGCTTTGATTTAAGAGTATTTTGAGAGAGCAGGGCATTCTGCTTCTAGAAAATAAGGAGCTGCCACGAGCACAAATTAAAAGTTTTCACATTAGTAACTGCACAAAAACTCTCAAGCTCATATAGTGAATTCTAAGAGGTTATGCAGATGCTAAATAGCTGCTGGGTTATTAATAAGCAATCAAGAAAGAAAAATGAACAAGCCAACAAAATAAAAAATAGCTTTGGACATTTCCCTGAGAGGCAGAGGCAGAGGCAGAATCAGTTGAGCTGGTATTCCATTTGCCTTGCCTGTGAGACCATGCACTTTCTCTGTACTCTCCGGTTTCGCTCGCTTCCAACATGCAGATATACGAGGCAGGGCTTCTGCAGACAGCCACCACTTCCACAAGACACAGCTGTTCCATTCCCTACATGCTGTTATCCTGGACTATTAACTGAATCAAAGGTCTCATGTAAAAATACGTGATCATGTAATTAAGGATTTCATCCCTAGAAGTATGCTTTAAAAGCCAAAGTAAGATTATATAGTACATCATATAATCACCCCCACCAAAATGCATAAGCTTTTTAAAAGCAAACAAAAAACCATTCAATTATGGAACCATACGGAAGGAGAGGAGCGGACCCAGTTTCCATAAGCAGGGAATGGGTCGTGGAGTCAGTCCGGGGCTCCTGGGCTCTTGCTGCTCCATCCTCCTGTTAGAACAGCGTTGGCTGGGTCTTCCCACCGCCCCCACTCAAAAGGCCTCCTTCCTCTCAGAGGCTGAGGGGAGAAAACTCTGCTTCAGCAACAACTCTGCCTGCCTGTTCTTCACTTCAGAAACAGAGAATCTTATTTTCCCTATAACTACCAAAGCGCTTATCAGAAATAACCGATTAGAAAACCAGACAAATGCTTTCAAAGAGAGTAGTGCTTTTATTTCCGCATAAGGAGGTGGAAAATTTATCTGATACTTTGTGACTTGTCAAAAATACAAACACAAGACTTAGTCCCTTTTATGCAGCTGTGAATGGCACAGTAATTCTCTTCCAAGAGACGAACAATCATTCCAATGTATATTGCTGCCTATGGTTAAAGTAAATGACTTACAGTGTAATTGCCAATACCAAATATGCTACTTAGAGATGAAATTAGTTTTACAAATTGAAAGCTGCGTAGTTGGAAAGAACATGGTGCTGATTATATGAGTCCTAGTATACACAGGAGGAACTGTAGTAAAACTGTTACCTGAAATGATGATTAGGAAGGTTAAAACAGAGTCTGAAGTTACCAACTAACTCTTACCACTGACTGTCATGTCTGTCCTATCACAAGTTATACTGGATAATAGTCTGTCACACGGAACCTGATCCAGCTGCCTTGTTTTGTCTGAGTAACAAGTACAGAATCAAATCACACATACCCTAGGCTCTCTGCACTTCTGCCTGCCAGAAGTAGCAAATATTGCTCAGTAATATGTTTGACTACACCAAGACATTAAAGGTGTTCAGTATGTATTGATGACATGTGTTTGACAGTCACAGCACAAATGCTGTGTACGCTGAGCAAAGTGCAAACAAAATAGCTAAAAATATACAATATGAATAAAGACCTGAGAGAAGTTGGCTAAAATATGCTCCTGTATTGTTGTTGATACCATTTTTAAGAGTAACTGTACTGGCTTGTCTTAAAATCAATAAAAAGATTTAGTTAAAAAAATATATGTATTCACATGAAGGATGTACATTTGAATTTAAAAAAGCAACACGTATTTCCCTTTCAGATGACAAAGAACTATTAACTTCCTTACTAATAGGTGTACGTCAAAATTTCATCTAATTTCTTGCCATATGAATTCAGCCTGCACAAACTAACAAAATGGATCTTTAAAAAGCACCTATTTCTATTACGTATTCTCCTGCTGCCCTCTTTGATTGTGTGAACTAGCTGGTCTTGAATCATGAGAAACTGCTACTATGACAGATGGTCCCATTTTACCATATAAAATTTCTATTAGCTACCTGTTTTGCCTGTGGCAAGAAAGCCTTGGCTTAATCTTGAATGAGTCCCTTTAACATGGATTAACTCTTTCAAGTTTAAATATCATCCCTATTAATAAGCATAGCTGCATGTTAAACTGTCAGTAACTGAAGAAAAGAGATTTCTCTAGGCCTTGTGTATCCAAACCTAATGGAAAACACCTGTCAGTATGAAAGTGTACTGCTCACATTCTCCTCCCTATGGTAACTGGAAGAGACAAACAGCAAATGGCTTTGAGTTACTCAGAAGAGACAAAGTAAATTAATATTTCTTTGGTAGGTGATGAGGAAATCATCCTTCTGATCTCCCCACACAGTGAGTTGTGAAACTCTGCTGCACTTCTGCATCCCAATCCCAGACCAAGTCTCCAGCTGTTCTTGGATAAATATATTTAAGTGCAACTCTTCTCTTTCAAGAAATGTCAGGACAGTGTTGTCTGGGAGCCACATGCAGATCCCCAAGTTCTCCAGCTGCTTTCACCTTGAATCATGGAGGTTGCAGCCTAAAGAAACTATAGATCTTCATGCACCATACTCTGGGGACTTGGATCAAGATGGAGAACTGCATGCAGAGATTGGAAGCCTTTCTGAGCCACATTGCTATCATAAAGACATGACAAAGGTGGTGAGAATGTCCTTGACCGATGCTACCCATGAGTGACCCTCAGGCTGCAAGCTGCTGTGGCTGTCAGTTTGGCCATCCCTATTTCTGAAGATCCATGGGAGAGCCTACTTTTCCAGGAGAGAACGCTGCAAAGCTTGTTGAAGCTCTGCATCTTCCTCCTCACGGCGCCGTTTCTCCTGCTCCTCCTGTTCTTTGACAGACAACTCCATGGCAAGCTGCAAGTCTTTGTCAAAACTGGAAGGCACGACAGGGGTGCTGGAGTGTGGATTACTTGTGAGATAGCTCTCCTGCAGTGCCCTGGTGAGAGAAACAAAGTTCCAAGAGACATATATCCCACTTTTAATTCATTTTTTTCCCTATAATGGAGTCTTTCCTTGCATTCTCTCCAAGAGAGTTAACAGCAAATAGGCTCCTTTACTGAAGGAAAAGGAAGCAATTGCTAGGACAATGACAGAAAGGAGCATGTTCTAGGAGTCATAAAGTATCCAATCCAAAATCCATTTCTCTCTGAAAGTGCCACATGGTGATGGCTCAGTTTCCAGCAGGCCTCTTAAAGCATACACACCTCATTTATAAGCAGAACCATCTGCCAGTACACAATAGGCAGGAAGATAACATTTTTAAGGCATGCACAAAATATTTCTCTCTTCCTCTTGCAAGCACAAACCGCATATACCGCAGCCTGTTTTCAGAGGGTCAATAGAAATTTGCTCCTCAGTTTATATAGAACACACAACTTGTATTTAGATAGAAACAAAACATTTTCTTTAAGTGTCAAATATTTAGAAAGAAACAAAACATTTTCTTTAAGTGTCAGTATATCTGAATCAAAATGTCCTGTTAAAGGTACTGCATTAGCAGCTGTTGCAAGGAAAGTAAAGAACCTTGAACTCTCTTAAAAAAGTAAAGAGTCTTTGGTTTTGAAAGTGATCATGGTTTGAGCAAAGAAAAACTCCAGTCCTAACACTGAGCTACCAAAGCCAAATTCTGTTATACATGGAAACTTTGCTGTATGTTCTTGCTTCTTAAACCTGTTAACATAAGCTGCATCACAAAGCAGGTATCTGGGCATCTAGTCTTGCAGCCTCAAGTGCTTAGGCTTTCTGATATTTACATACAGAAGTATAGCATTCCTTTGCACTGCTTTCCACACTGACCCATGGGTTTGGCATGACAAGTTTAAAAATTTTAGATAAATTAAATTAAGTTACCTCTGATACTGTATATTAAATTCCGGTGAATAAGCAACTGCTCCATTGGAGTGCATTCCCAAAGCTTCCTGGAGGAAAAGATACCACCATGATTAACTGATCTACTATGTAATTCATATATATGAATTTCTAAGTCACATATGACTTTTATTGATGCTTACTGTGACCCATTTTGGAAGTTTCAAAAGAACCTTCAAGGAAGATAAACACTCTCAAACTCCTTTCCCACAATTTTTTGCAAAGACTCACAAAGGAGATATATATACACACACGCACCTTGGTACAGATTCAGAGATGAATCCTCCTACACACAGTTCACATACAAATATTTTAAGATACTGCTTTGCCGCACAATACAAAGGTGATTGAACAGGCCACCATGTCACTTTTCATAAGTCAAACCCAGGCCTGATGTTATACTTCATCTGATGAAAGAACAGACACTGAAAAGCTGGCTGCTCAGACTTACTTTATTTGCAGCAGACTCGAACAAACTCTGCTGAATGGCAAACTGCATTATCTCATTATCTTCATCTTGCACATGCATGTTTCTGCCATCATCTTGAACATGGTAAGATTTGGGGATCTCAAACACAGACTGGTCAACCTCAAAATTAGAGCCTGTACAAACCAGAAACATACATACAGCCACTGCACACTTACTGCTTGTTAACACAAAACTCAGTTATCGAAGCCCATCTGCATTTAATTTAATAAATGAAAACCAACCCCCAAAAAACTCAGACAAACCACCCATAAAAAGTATGTCAGAATGGGGAGCTACAAGTACTTTGCTGTCACCAGGTAGGGGAAAAACAGATTAACACTGATGCCAGAACGTTTTACAACCAGTAAAGCCAATATGTGGCACCAAAGAACTAAGCAGGCTGAACTGGATTTTGACAAGTTGGGAAGGAGTGGGGGAGAGAGCAAAGCAAGCCCACAAAAAATAAGAAGCAATGAAGTTGGACATCAGGAGGCGCTACTTCACGGTCAGGGTGGCTAGAGTCTGGAACCAGCTTCCAAGTGAGGTGATGCAGGCTCCCACCCTAGGGGTTTTTAAGAGGAGGTTGGATGACCACCTTACTGGGGTCATTTGACCCCAGTGCTCTTCCTGCCATGGCAGGGAGTCGGACTAGATGATCTGCTCAGGTCCCTTCCGACCCTAGAAACTATGAAACTAAGTGCAGCAAGCCACTTGCCAAGTCGCCCATTGACTACATAAACAAAACAGCTTATAACATGCACACAGAACAACTCAGCATTTATATCCAGTACTCCCCATTACCAATCCTGATAGTGCCTTAACACTACTTCACACAAACAGGTTCCACATTAGCAAGACAGGCAACAGCACTTGATTCCAAATCCAAAGGATTTTACACTCAGCAGAACAATCTAGAAAACATGCCAGGGCCAAAGTTCAGGCATCTCAGCAGGGCGTCAAGTGACAAACAGGGTTAATCAGTTTGGCAAACATACATTCCAGATACATAGGTATACTCATGCATTAGGCTTTCCAGATTGGTACAGACTGAACTACAGCTTACTGTAGTTTGAGCTTTTGTTCCATTCAGGTAACAGGTTTACTTTACCCCACACCACTATTTATAGGAAGTGCACAAAAGAAGCTATTGTGTATACCCACCACACTTTTACATTCCTTACCCAGATCACACTGATCACCTCCTGCAGCTTGCGATGAAGTTTTGTCAGCTGTCCTGCAACCATTGACATTTTCAAATGTAATTCGAGCATTCAGCACATGGAATAAGGGAATTTCTGTAAGGAGAAGTACAAGCTTTCTGTGAGAACATGTGGGGTCTGCTGCATCTTAGTTACAGCAGTATCAGCCATTTTTACACATTTAGCACATGCATTCCACAGACAATGAACTGCACATCAGTCCATGAGAAAGTCAAGTTAACTGGAGGCAGTCTCTCTCACACACTTAGTCTTGCACAAATGCAATTCTTGGACATCCACTATATTTCTGTGGAAGTTGGATAAAGTCTCTCCAATGTACCAGTTGCTGTTCATACTGCACTCTTGACAGAGACATGCCTTCACATCATTTGGAAACTGCAGCTAAGGCAAAATGCAGCAGTCTCTTTAGCAAGCAACATGTCCATGAAGAGAGCACCTGGTATTCTGCATCATGTCCTACAATGGATACTTGAATGAAGTTTACAGTTGTGTTTGACTTACGAAGCCGCAGTAGCTTAGGTCCTAAATCTCAAACTGCCTCCTAAGATTTTACAACATTTACAATATTTCACAACATATTAAAAGCACTTGGGCTAGTAAGAGGCTAACAACTGCTAATTCTTAGTGGCTTGTCTTTGCCTTTGGAATTCACTTCCCTGTGTAAACTTTCAAAGTGTGGATTTAATGATGATCAGTAAACATCAATATACAGTTCTCTGAACTGGTTGGCTTCTAAGATGCCACCCTGACATAGCTTCAGCCTGATTTCACACTAACCCAGCTAACTAGCTCACTCTACACTCTATCAGCATACATGGTAGGCTTGGCTATATTCCCAGATTTCCCAATGAAAACATTGGTCAGATGACAGGTGGCATTTTCAGGTGTCAAGTTCTGTCCAGTTTTTAATTCTTGTGTTGTGTTGGGAGGTTGTCAATGGTAATACATGGGAAAAGGCTGCTGAGCAGTACCAATTTTGACAGGAAATCCAGGTGGGAACTCCAAAGTGATGAAGTCTTTCAGTCTAGCAAAATGAGCACTAGTTCTGGCCATCAGATCAATGATTGGAGTGACCTGCTCCACAAGAGAAAGGGGGAACTCCTCACTCATCCACAACGTGGCTTTAAACCTGCAACAGAGTCGCATAGGAAGGCTTCAAGAAGGTTGGAACTTTTTTAACACAGCACAGCAAAATACCTAGCATTATCTGACAATACTTCTAGCATCTTGGAATGGATTATGAGGCTTTAGCACTAAATGGGTTTCAAGGCTGGAACCATTATTTTGTGTTAAGGGTGGGATTTTCAAGACATGTACAGTGTTAGCCCAACTCTGCTTCTACTGGCTTCGTGAATTAGGACAACTGAGCATATTTTAAAATGCCACCCTTAATTTATTCCCCACTTGGAGAAAAAAGGGGGAGTTTTATTCTAAAAATTCACACATCTTCTAAATGCAAATCAGCAGGAGATTCGGCAGGAAAACATAAAACAGTAAGCATTTAAGACAAGATTATTTCTCACTTTTGTGTTCTAATGGTGACTTCCTTGGGTCTTCCTATGTCTCTGTCTTTCAGCTCAAATTCTGGATCAAAGTATTCCTCCAGAGTAATGGCAGTTGGGTTGTTTATTGTGGCATACTCGGTGGTGAGATCCTGTAAGAATCAACCACCACAAACCTGGTAACTATTACAAAACGCATCAGCCTACATCTCAGATTCTAGAGCAGTAACTGGCAGCTGTGTAACACAGCTCTCCCTCCATTTAAATCAGTAATGACATGTGTACTTACAAAAACAGGTCAGATTAAACGAAAGCTCCAGATGAACAGGCACTTTCATCCAAAGTATAGATCTCAAAAAGTTTTACAGACAGGAGAGTCTGCTTCCAAATACATACTTTAGCTCATACATTATGAAGATGTAATACTGAAAGCTAAAAATTACCCAGTCTTATACGCATGTGCTAATGTTACCCACGCACACCATCTTGATGACACCAATCCGGTGATGGCACTTAAATCAATAAGAGATACATATGCCTTATATAAAAAAGAGTCAGGAAACAGAGCCATCCATTGGTAAGCCTAGTCCCTATTCACCTTATGCCTATACAGATATTAGAGCATCTTTATTAAGCATGATCAATAACATTAACACTACATACCCTGCAGAACCCCAGGACACTTCTCTCCTCTCAACATCCCCAAGAGTCAGTGTGCAGCTGTTAAAGCATTTATATCCCAAAGGCCATTTTTTCTGTTGTCTCTTACAGCAACAGGTGGGGCTCAAGGTACATCTACAGGCTGGCGTTTGAACTAATTAAGTTCCAGGACATGAAGGAAGAGGAAGGTTTTCCATAAGGCGCACACAACTCCCAGTAAGTCAGTTACTCAACACTGAAGGGATCTTCTTTGAAATCAATGGAAAGCCAAGCACTTTGCTCACCTGAGCCCCATACTCATGCTCCACTGTACCCAGGAAGGATTCCAGAGGGCTCCTGTCAGCTTAAGGAGAAAGAGGGGGGAAAAAAAACAAACAGGTTTATTGAAAATGGCACGTGTCACAGTAGTGCACAGGCACACACAAGACTGCAGGGCCAGGGAGGCCTTAGCTCCACAGGCAGAAGATGGTCTTGTTTATAGTGCTCATTCAAAGGACATTTTCAAGACCAGACAAGCTTCCTCTAAGCACTTTACTAGATAAACCCAAGAGCTAGTGGAGGGGGAACATGAGGGATACAAGACAAGAGCAGGAGAAGAGAAGAATTTCCAAAAATCACTATCAGAAGCCTGTATGACAACAAAACGTTACATCTTGTTTCCAGGAACCTATAAAGACTGTGCTGAGTGACAAGCAACAGGCATTTCCTACGCAAGGTTGCAAGCTGGCTTCTCTGCACCCTCCACTGTGATCTGCATAGGCACTCAAGAGTTAAAAGCAAAACCAAACTGGGCATCTTGCAACTTTAGCCAGTGTAAAGGGAAACTAGCATGAAGCAAAGGTATGACCAGGCTGTCAGGACAGGCAATAAGCAGAACAGATAATGCATGTGCAAACAGGGTTCCACCTTCTGGAGTTCAGACAAAAAGCTGAACCAAGTTTTCCAGACACTTGCTCCCATCAAATGGAATCAAGACTATGACAATAATCCTTATTTACATCAGGATTTACTTCAGAACCAGGTAAGAACCCCCACCTTCCCCAGCAGCCCAACCCTGTATTATTTGGCAGGGGAGGCTCAAATACAAGCAAGATGCTTTCATTAGCCAGGCTGATTACTGTACATGCTACCCAGTGCACAAAAGCAGCACAAGGTTCTGCTCAGTTTCAAGCCACCACTGGGAAAATTACCTTTGTATCTTTTCTTTTCCTCTTCCGTCAAATGCTCTGTTCGGATCCGCGTTACTACATTCACATTGTTTGCTGTATAGACCTTTTCATAAAAGAAAAGGAAAAAAATGTATAAAAGAGACCAAGAATAAAAGAAGGACATCTTTAAAGCAGCCCAAACACCAAAGACAAAACCTAAAAGAAACTGGGGGGAGAAGTAAGAAACTGCCCACCTTCACCATATCAGAGACCAGGGGGAAAGTGTCCAATGTGACTATTTAACTGATTCTTTTTCAGCTCTGAAGTGCAGAAAGTATTATGCGTTATGAATCCTGACAACAGTCCTGTGCTAAAACTGAATGAGACAGCCATCTGCTGGGCAGGCTGCTGGAATTACAAGAGACTATCTGGAATCACATGATAAAGAAACTAGTTGGCTCCAGACATTTCGGAACAATCCTACACCAACAGCAGTCAAATAAGTTTCCCCACTGATTTCAACTGGAATGCGACTGAGCCCTCTGCAACACTGGAGAGGCCTTAGCTCCTTGTAAACGGATTTCATGTTTATTTAGATTGACAACTGGACAGCTGCCTTGGCCTTAGTGATGAACTGCAGAATCCCCCAAGCCAGGGCCGCTTTGGAGGAAGGCAGGCTACGGAAGGTGCCTCAGGCAGAGCCACAAAGAATTTGAGATCCTCCACTTAGTGGTTCTGCAGGGTTAATAACAGTAAAATCTAGGTTTGAATCAAAGCAAAGCAGGCTCATTCAGTAAGATAATGTCATTTGTGTACGTCTTTGGTCATGCCAGACATTCAATGAAAGTTTGGTTTCACACGTCAGTTGAACAGTTAGACAAACCATTATATTAAAAGACAAACAAACCACCCCACTATCACGTTAGAAGAGAAGCAGGGTTGCAGAACCAAGCACTCAGAAGTTAGGAAACAAGAAAATTAAGGTTGCCTCTGGGTCTTAAGTTTGTTTTCTTGTGCATATGCCTCATGGTACATCCTTATTATGTGATCACATATGATCTCTCTCTCTGCACAGGACCCCACTTCATTCAGCGCATAGGCTGGAGGGTGCTCATCATATGTATCCCATGCCTGTTTTTATCCTCATCTTTCAGTATGTTACCTCCTTCCATGATTCATTGAGCATCATTCCCACTGGGCACTAAACAGAACTGTCTAAAGATCAGTGGTGCTCTCAGTGTAGTGCCCAATTTGTTTACAAACACCGGAGAAGTTCCCGTCCCATGCCTTGATGAGAGGGGTCTGTGTGGGTGTTATCATTATGTCTATTCATATGGACAAATAAACCAGAGATTAAAGTAAAACACCTTGACTGATTGTGTGTGTCCAATTTGGAAAAAACAAACAAGCTTCTCAAAGTATTTAGCAATTTACATATCCAGAGTACAGCTGATCATGTAACGAAAAAGCATGTCTTAATGCACATGCACAAAATAGTGAATTAAGGTCACGGAGGACCTGGTATTTCTAACTTCTGAGAAACTAAAATCAGAGCGGGGGGAAATTCCATCATATGGAAGCATGCTAACCTCCCCCAATATGGCTCATCAGAAAGACAAACTCTAGATCCATGCTGGTCTTATTCTATTAGAGCTACTGAAGGAATTTGTAACAGCAAAAGGCTGTTGTCTCGGGCATACCCCTAGTCAGGGCTAGCAATGACATTTTGCTAATGGGTTCTACTGCTTTTTGACACTGTGAGAATGCTGAGACTCTCCAGTAATAGCTGAGCTCTGCATTCTGGAGGGATCTTGTGATCACAGAGCCATTTGCCGACATCCCTCCCAGCCTCTCCCTGTCTCCTTTTGGCACTATCCCCACCTCCCAGCACTTGCTTCAATCCCCAACCACAGGCAAAGCTCCTGGGTATTTGGCATCCCATCTGAAATGTCTCACACTGTATCAGTTTGTGGCAAATCAAGGAGGTTGTGGACATTAAAGGAAGATTTTAAAGCTAAGATACTCAGGGAATATTGAACAATCACATTCACACTCCAATTAGCTTTCGACCTCTTAGTTGTACAGAATTGATTTTTACCTTTGCTTCATAACCATTTACACCTTCTGCTTTCTCTGTCCTCCATACCCAGAATCCAGATGTAGTTCTGATAAAAAGTGAACACCACAAGTATCTATATATAATTTGCCATGTCTATTTATCCTTCAACCCATGTTTTCTCTAATGATGTTTCAGCGAAACAGTGTTTGCAAGATACCAGACAAACAGCCCCAGAAAACAGGTACAAGAAACACAAACACCTTTCTCCAATCTAAGGCTGAAAAATGAGTCTGAGTCTATTTCTTTCTTATTCATATCTCCATGGAAGTGCAGAGGCTAATATTTAGCATGCTGACTGCAACAGGAAAGCTCGAGCCACAAGGACTTGGAGTTTCTGGATAGCATCACATTCTCTCCTGAGCCACTGAACAACTGTCAGAGTCAATGCTAGCTTAATTCTATCTGGCAACTTGCAGCTGGAAACTGGGAAGCCAGGCTGATTGCTGTCAGTAAGCCGTTGGGTGGTTTTCACAAACAATGTAAATGTTGGTGTGTCTAAAATTCACTGGCTTTTAGTGGGACTTAGGATTTGGAGGCTTTTTTGTTTTAATTTTATTTATTCCCCAAGTAGCACTCAAGGAAGAAAATCTTCACACATCCAACAGAATGAATTAATGAGCTTTGACAGCTGATCTTTCATACTGGTTGTAATTCTGCACCATGTTTTAATAAATACTTTTGCCTTGCAGTTAATCAATGTTCTTGCAGCAATACTTAAGTGTATTGTCATACCCTATAACGCTCCAAAAAGGTGCAGCACTGAACTAGCTCTTGTGCTTCTACTATCAAACTAGTATCCTCTCTATCAGTATTAGTACAGTTATTACTATCATTTACGTAGAACTAAACTAAAATCAATCAAGCTCAAAGTCAAAACTGAAGCTGTAAACCTTATTATTGGATACTCAACGTCAGCCCACAGACTGGGAAGTAGCAGCAGTGCTGCACGTATGGTTCATTCTTGCTGTGTTGGCAATTAAGTGTATATTTCTGAAACCAGAAGATATTAAAACTGGCCCCATTAATACAGAAATGCATGTGTTACAGTGCAAAAGGACGCTACACCAAATGGAAACAGTTTGCAAGGCCAGAAGTAAATGTTATGATTTTCAACTCATTTTTTACATAATGGAATATGCAGTTTAGGGTATTATTCTAGGTTACTTCCAAGACAATCTATTACAAGGTTCTTTTTTTTAAGTTATACTGCAAGCATAACCCTGCATAGGCGGAGGACTTGTTCATTAAGAAAAGCTTAAATATCTTACCTTTCAAAAGCAATGTTTTTTGTATCAAGGCAAGTATTAATAATAGGAGATGTAAGGCGTCTTTCCACATCCTTCCTTTTTGGAGTCATAGAGCCCAATGTCAAACGCTTCATTTGTTGGGAGATTTCAAAACGCTCTGTTGTGACAACCTTATCATCATGGTTTATCTCAATTAGCTCTGCCCAGCCTCCAGTATCTGTTGAAAGGATAGATATAATTGACTACAGATTTAACAAGCTTTCAGTAAAGAGGTGTCCAGGACACATTCAAGGGATGAAAGTGAAGATGAAGGAAACTTTGTCAGGTTTGCATTTGTCTGGGACAAGTGATAGATTTGTTTAAGTACCACTATGATCTTAGTAAGGATGGATGAGCAGAGTATGTAGGTGGCCAAGTCATTTTTAAGAGTAATATGAAAAGTAGAATTAAAAGACCCTAATAATGAACATTTGGGAAATACCTATATCTATATATCTATATCTATAATGTAACTGAATGCTTATTTCTGTGGTTCTAAAGTTAAGTTTTAATCTGATTTCCTATATTTGCTCCAGAAGAATTTGTTAAGGAAAATTCAGCCCTTCTGTTCTGCTCAGAAACTTGAAATGCCAGATGGAGCACTTCTCAGCATGAACAAGTCTTTGAAAGATGGGAAAATAAAGCTGAGCATTATAACACGTACTCTGAATAATATTGTAGGCCTCATGCTATCTGGCAGTCAATAAATGAGACAGGCTAAAAATACTCACCTTCTCCCTTGAAAATTAAACTACGTTTTCCTCGTTCCCAACTCATATTTTCAAAGCCTAATAACGTGATATCAACTCGAAGCTTGGCACCACTTTTCCAGATGCGGCAGATATCACTTGGACATACTCTGGAAACCAGTGGGACTATAAAGAAAAAGACAGAGAGATTCAAATATAAAAATCCTTAGCAGAAAAGAAAGGAGTAGGAGGATCAAACTCAAACCAGAAGTTATAGTCTTGATCCAGGAATTCCTTAAAGAAATGTTATGGCCTGCATTACACAAGAGGTCAAAGTAGATCATTGTAATGATCCCCTTCAGTCCCAAGAGTTATGAACCTCTGTCTTTTTTGGTTTGTTTTGTTTTTTGATACCTAAACAAAGAACAGAGGAACTATCAGAATCGATTCCCCACTTATGGTGAACATGCCAAGACATGAGACACTAAATAAAATAATTAATTTTAGCTATTTTTTTGTCCTCTGTCCAGCAATGGTGAATACTCAGTGGTTGGGAAGAAAGAGAAGTCACCCATAATGCACATAATCAGTTTTGCAATGGGAAGGAATAAACTGCTTCCTAAATTGGTTGGCACCACCACAATTTTTGCCTCATCACCTTACGTATGACAAAGCACTGGGACAGCTAAGTCCTTAGAAAAGCTTCAGCAACCACCAACACAAGTGTCATAGGGTTCAATTAAAAAAAGGCATTAAAAAAGATCTAACAGTTTATATAGCAGGAAAAATAGGCTGGAAATCTTTCATGCTTAACAAACTGAGAGAAAGGAAGAAAGTAAAGGTTCTACATACATATTTTCTTTGCAAATCTACTTTTTTACTTCAACAAGTCTGAAACTGGCATGCATTTCTACCAGTTACCAGAAGTAAGAGAGGTTGTAGAAGACACTTACCCCAACTAGTGAATTCCCATTTCATTTCCACGTAGAAGTCAGGAGTCTAATATAGAAATGGGTGTTTCAAATAACCCAAAAATGGAGAGAATATTAACTCAATATTTAGCTCTTACTTGTCATATACATTTAAGAAAGAAGAAACATTTGAGGCTGAGATGTCACTGACAACACTTGCAGTGAAATTTACCCAGAAAATACTTATCAGCACATTTAATCAAAAAAAGGTGGCATACAGACATTGTCCTGCAATAGTTTAACACTTTTCCACTGTACCCATCTTAGTTCCGTTACTACAGGTTTACATGGAGTTAACAGACAGGTAATTTTGAACTGAACAGCCCATCATCCTGACTTAAGATCAATTGATTCCAATCCCCAAGCTGATTTAAGTTAACTGACACCAAACTAACAGCTCCCATAGGGGCACTTGACCAGCCTGGAACTTGGTTTTCATTAAATATATACCTCATTAATCTTTTGGAGTAATTCAGGAACCCCTCCAAGTGTCATTGAGGTTTGCTGGTAGTCCCGATGCTGCAGAATCATGTGTACCATTTCTGGGTCTCCTGTGCTGACAGCCTCATGCAAAACTGAAAGAAACCCAAACACAGAGGTGGGTGCATTTTTTGCTTTTAGCCAAAAAGCAGAACTCCTACAACATGCATGTTGCAGACATGCCATGCAACAACCACGGTGACACACACACGGCCAGATTTCAGAGGTGCTGGGTTTAACGCAAAGGTTATTAACAGGCAAATTCCACTTCCAATCTAATCTCTTACCCGTCCATCCCTGGGCATTCTCTTTGGTAACATCTGCCTTGTGTCGAAGGAGGACTTTGGCAGACTCTATGTATCCCAAGGAAACAGCAAGGTGCAGCAAGGTCCGGCCTCGTGGATCCCGTTGATCAACATCCTGTTGAACAACCAAGAGGTAAATGGTGTTGAGACCATTCAATCAAACCCCCATCACCAGAAGACATTGAGGACAGATAATACGAAGCTTTTCAGCAATAAGCTACAATGGGTCAATATGCATTATGTATTCTTACAGAACCATTCATGGTTTGCAGTCACTTTATCTTACATGACTTGCTTTGATACCCCTGTTGAATTGCCTAATTCTCCTCTTAATAGCCTGGCTTTCACAGAAATACAATTGGAGTAGGACTGGATTCTTTTAAAGTGATTGGGAATAAGAGGAAAAGGGGGTGTTGGGAGGCAGAGAAAGCAGCCAGCTCTATATGAGGTTCCTCCCCCGTCCTGATCTTCAGGCACAATTTTTTCAGGAAATGGCAGGCTTCCATTCTCTGTACTTTGTAACTTTGATTTATTTAGTCACCAGTTAAAGTGGCCACTAGAGGGTATCATGACATACAACACATTAAATCAGCCAAAAATCACAGAAGTGAGTGATAGGCTATACAATGCACATTTTGTATAGCATTTAGTGAGAATATGGAAGTAAAATGACAATTAAAAGAGCATCAGTTTGACTGAGACACACAGGACAATGAAGAGTGAGTGCATTCTATACAAATCACTAAGAAATGCAACCACATGAGGCATAAATACCCAAAACATGCAAGCGCAACATACTCATACCTTACTTCTATTTTTCACTACTAGCTTTAGAGATCTGAAACAGAAGAAGATCAATAACTAAAGGAAAAGGGGAAAAGTCAATAGTGGAATAAGATAGGAATATTATGCAAATTGAAACGGTTATCTGACAGCATTAAGTCTGAAACACCACGATCAAAGAGTAAGGAAAGTTTGAATTATAGCATCCTCATCTCTCACTGCTGTGATTAAGTACAGCAGCCCTTACAATGTTCGCTCAGTTTCTCCACGCTGTAGTGCCTAATCCAGTGAAAACAAGGATTCTGGATCAGTTACCTTCATTTCCCTTCTGCTGTTAACTTGTAACTGTGCACTGCATTAGTCATTTCATGTGGCTGGCTAGAGTTTCCTTCAGTACCTCTGCAACACACAGCACATCTGCCCCATACAAGAAGCAGTTTGCCCAGAGGATGCAGAAGTAACATCTTTGATTTAAAGAAGACACTTCAAGCTTAGTGCATGTCTTCTCTCCCTTCCTTTAAATGTAGTCCATTTACTTGCACTGTAGAGCACTGGGGGCAGGAATCAGGACCTTCTTACATTGCCATAATTACAATGATGCAAATCACTGAAATAAACTAGTGCTAAAATATTCCCAGTTAAGGTACAACTGTTTAAAAAATGGTAACATTATTTTAATAAAGATTTAAACATAAAGAAACAAGCACCCTAACCAATGTGCCAGTAAAAGAAATATTGCAGACAGACTGAAGATTATAAGAATTAGAGATACAGTACACAGCATCCTAAAGATTCACTCAAAGAAAGAAAAAGACGACCTAAGCAAGCTTTACATAAATTTTAGCATTTCAGAACGCACCAGCAAAAGTGCAGCCAATCATCCTAATTAGCATCACAAGGTGACACTGTCTGACACTCGGTGCATGGACCCACTGTATGAGGAACAATACAATTAACAGGCTATGTGTCTGCCAACTGGTGCCCTGTGCCATGAATCCCAGCTGTTTAGCTGTGTATTAATAAAGTATCTATCACCACAGGATCTCAGTATTTGGAGCTGCACTGGAATTCAGTAATAGCAATATCTGAACTCAACAACTGGATTATTTCAACTGCTTGGGCTCTGATGCAGATTTCAAACCCATTTCTGTCTTTATTTGAATGCTAACATTGTGCCCACTTTACACCTGCCCTACCGGATTTGGGTGGTTTAAGACGATCACGTATGTTTTGTCACCGAAGCAAACATACTTAGCTATTGAGACCCTAAGTCTCCACCTGGAAAACTCAAAGAACTATGCTTGAAAAAGGGATGTTTGTATTTTAACATGCAAGGACTACTGACTTTGCAAAACAAAAATCATAGCACCTATCAGTAGAGGGGAGGACAGAGAATGATTCAAGAGTATACAAGGAAAACAGAAGCAGTTTTCAATGAGCTACTGGTTCCCTGGACATGCCATCCTGAGGAAAAGAAAAAAGGTTTTGCTCAGGTCCCGGCAGACCCATCGCTGTGCAGGGCTCTCTCTCCCAGCCTGGTGGTACTCTCCCAGCAGACAGCATTAAGGCCTATCACATCTGCATGTTTTTGGCTCCAGTTCCAAGCCCAACCCCTCCCCCCCCCAAAGATAAGCAGACAGCATTTAACAAGTTCAGCGATATCTCTGCAGACATACTCTCTGTGTCTGTCCATAACAGCCCCTTCTCATCACCAATAAGCAACTGCAGAAGCTGCATCAGCAGCCCCAACAGCTCGACGGTCACACGCATCGGTAAGCTACCCGGCCGCGTCCTCCGGGCTGGTCCGTCACAGGACCCTTTCGAGACTACCGGGGGGCCTGGCCCCCGCATTACCTGCTCTCGTAGCTCCGCATCCAGCCGCCGGTAGTCGTTATTCCACACCAAGACGTGCAGGGGGTACTTGCTGCTGGCTTTGCCCAGAGAACTCATCCTGCTGCCTGGTGCTCCTGAGGGCCCTGCTCTCCCCTGCTTCAGATCCCCAGCCCTGGCCAGGGGGGCAGACACCCTGCCTGCACCTACCTCCCCAAACACATGCACCCAGGCCCCTCAGCCTCAGCACCCCCACACTTCAGGCACCCTCAGAGACCCCTCCCCTCACAGTTCAGGCACCCTCAGATAACACCCCCCTTAAGGCAACCTCCCCCTGCCTCAGGCACCCTCAGAGCCCCCC